AAATCGTGAACATATCTGTTCGAGGAAGGCTGTGCAATCCTTTGCCGGCTCGTCGCTCCCGCCTCCTAGCACACGGTGCTAACGCCAATTCCGTCTGTGTTTTCACTTCAGTAAATCAGTTTTGGTGAATAATAGGGGTGTTTATTTTACGTGATTATTTTTCATGAGTCCAACATCCCGCCGCGCAAGAGACGTGATCAGTAAGGGAAGTCGTCTTTCACTATTGTAATGTTGTTAAATAGAGAAAAACATTTTATATTTAAGTAACTAATAGCATAATTCTTAACCTTGGACCTTATTCTTGAAACACAAAATGACCAATAAAAAGGTGTCAAGCACCAAAAGCAGCCCATATTAAATCTATAAGCTGTCTTTAATTGAAAAATACACATTTTCATGCATACTATATATGTGTGTGTGAGTGTGTGTATACACTGTCACAAACCGTGCATTCATAAGCTCAACAGCATCGTGTGTGACTGGTTATAATGCAGCGCTGTACAAACGTGTCCATCTCTGGCTCAGCGCCAGCCAGTGAACGCAGATTTGAAATTAGCAGCTGATGATATGACGCGCTGAACGATTTAATCACACTGATTGTATCAAATATACAAAATATTATTCGGCTATTTTTTGTCTTTTGGAAGCTGCATTCAAAATCCACTTGGCTCAAAAATCTGTCTTTGAATGGGCATGACGCCTCTGCTTGCAACATTACTTGGCAATATTTTAAAGATATTACTTTTGGTATTTTGCATGGTCTGTTATTGGAGTAGTGTCACCGGGGTGAGAGTTTTAACTCCTATTCACTTGGAATAATAAATGCAGAGACATATACACTGGGGGAATCCCCCATCTCCCCGCCCCTCTGAATAATAATTACGTATCACAACGTAACTTTGTGTAAACGTTATTTGGCCATTTTTACTTGGAAAAGAAGCTATACGTTTTTCTAGCATTCGAAAAACAATGGATAAACCTGAAACGATAAGTAGTATTGGGGATGAATTTCATTTTCAAATAAGGTAGGAAATGTGGATACTTTTAAATAAACAACCAGCCACGGTTTTTCCCTCTTTGAGTGTGTCCTAAAAGCCGATGAGGAGGGGGGAGGGGTGTCATAATCTTAGCACTCAGCATACCCGGTTAAAAAAAGTCACCGCTCACCACTGAAGAAAGTGCCATTATTACAATTTAAAATAACTCTTTTCATTTTTAATGTATTTAAAAAATATGTAATTTATTCCTCTGATGAAAAGCTGAATTTTCAGCAGCCATTACTCCAGTCTTCGGCATCCCATGATTACTCAGAAATCATTCTAATATGCTCATTTTGTGTTCAAGTAACATTTCTTCTTTTAAATTTTAAAAGCAGTTTTGCTGCTTCATATTTTTGTGAAAACTGTGTTTTTCGATTCTCTGATTATTAGAAAGTTCAAAAACAAACAAAATTAAAAACAGCAACATTTATTTGAAATAAAAAAAACGTGTTTGGTAACAATGTTAAATATAATGCCTCCTTTCTCAGTTAAAGTACTAATTTCTTTAATATTTAATATTACTGCAGAATTATAAATAAGAAAAAAAAGTAGATTAATGCTGCAGTCCGTAACTTTTTTTTTGGTTAAAAATTATCCAAAATCAATTTTTGAGCAAGTACAGTACATAACCAGCCAGTGTTAAAAAATATCTCCTTACCTTAGCTCAATTCACAACGGTAAGCTTATAATAATGTTTTCTCATTTGAGTGGTACTGGTAGGAATTCACGGGAAATTCGAGCACGCCGCCACGTCATTACATCACGTCTGTAAACAAAGGCGGCGTCCAGGCTAGTAGGCTATAATGCACGCGAGGATGCTGCAGGTGGCAGATCATTAATAGCCTTTTCTCACAGCAGCTAGAATAATTAAATTTATAATTTTGATGCCGGATTGTAGGTAATCCATAAAGGATTATGCGTTTATGAAACACATGTGACTGAAATTAGATTACATTCCCGTTTTACATGTGCATCTGATTACAGATAGCACAAGATTTGTATTTTAAAGAGAACCAGTTCAAAGAAAGAATAATTAGCTTTTTGGGTTAAAATAATTTCTTTATATGAAATTCGAATGGTATGACAATTAGAGATTAGACTGTACAGAAATGTACATCTACATGCTAATACACACCACATACACGTAGTCACGCAATGCTGATGTTGTTAACATTAACAATTTGAGAACAGTATAAAGTATAACAATAATAATAATTTGCACGGTTTGATGTGATATGAGCTAACCGATAGTTAGATTTAATCACCATTGGTAGCGCAATTTATTGTAATGCTTTTTTCCTCAGTTGGCCAGAACAAAAGTAGCAGACTTGTTATTTGTTCAGATGACAATATCCGGTGAAAATTCTTATTTGGGTCATATACTCCAAGACGCAGGCTGAAATCTGAAGTACAGTATCCACACCGGTGCAGTGATTGACAGCCACACATACTCCTCATAACATTAGATTAATCCGCGCTGGAGCCATGCCGGTGCACAACCCACGGAAAGAAGATAATTCTGCAAATAACTGCAATTGCATGTTTCAAACAGAGATGGTGGTGACAGAGAGGCAAAACTTACAGACTGCAGCTTTAAGAATCCATTTAAAATTAGATTGTGATTCCCAGAATCAGATCGGATCATGAGGCACCAAAACATTCCCAATTAATTGTAATGTTTTATGTTGTTTTATATTAAATCAGAAATTAAGTGTAAACATCGACTCTAGCATACCTTCAGTCCATTCTGTGGATTCATGAGAAAGTTTCTTCCGATGTCATCAAACATAATTGTGTTCTTCCTGTTGTAGAACTCACTATATTTACCCCATATGACTCCTAAAGGCTTCACCTGAAACATTATAAGTACACATTATGCACTAATAATACACTGGGGTTTAAAAGACAATTAATATTAATTTATACTATTGATTTAACTGCACTGCCACTATCGGACGAGAACAAAATTTGAAATTAATTGAGCTGGAACTGCAACATTGACACTGTTATTGAACTGAACTAAATTAATATTGAACTGACTTATAATGACTGACTGAATGATGAGACTATTGCCTTCTGTAAAGCTGATTATTGCTGAATTAAAATACATTTCATAATTGATTAATTTTGCAACATGGACAGTGTTAAAAACTGAACTAAATTGAGCTGAATAATGACACTAGTGTCTTTGTAGAGCTGCATTAGAGTTTAAATTTAATTTGTTTTATAATTGATGAATTTTACATCAAGTTATTTTCATGTTTATTGTGATGTTGCTTTGAAACAACATGTACTTTATAAACAATTTATACACTATAACTCTAAATAAATGTGACTTGACAGAGACAATGATGTGTTGTTTTTTTACTAGAATGTCTGACCTCTACGACTCCTCTTTTAGGTGTGTGCACAGTGATCATAGCTGCACCGTCCAATATGAAGGTGATCTTATAGTTTGGGTTGTCCGTCACCCCCAGTTCCTAAAAAAAAAAAAAAACCGGTTCCAATATGTTATGCAAGTAAAGGAGGCCTCAACAGTATCATCATAACCTGAGGCACATTTGAGGCTTGTGGGAAAACTGCACATTTCAGTGAAAAATCCTTTTAGCGCATCATAATATTTATATGGATTATGGCCTTCCATTATAATGCGGAAAACAAAATATATAATTGGACCTACTTTCATTTTAGCATCAATCCACTTCATACTTGTTGCAGCTGAAAAGACATGAAAGACGAACAAAAGATCTGAGTACTTGAGCATCAGGAAAATATTCTGCAAGACTTAATTGTCTAGATAGATACTTACACCAGATGACAATATCATAGTCCTCATATGCTGATGTAAGAAATTCATGTAAGTATGGTCTCATCAGCTCCTGGCCTGTTTCTGCACATGACTTATGATCTACATTTATAGAAAATAAAAAAAGAAACATTAACAATATACTTGGGATACACCGATACCATTTAAAAACCGAGTACGCGTACCGATATTTTTTTTCCTGGTACTCGCCGATACCGATACCTGTTTTTGGGATGTGGCAGTTTCCAAGTACTGACAAAGTGAAAGTAATAATTTTAGGATAGCTTCTCTGTAATTATGAACAACTGTAACTCAAAACAATTTTTTTTTCTGCATGTCACAAGGTTGTCAAAGTATAATCCATTTTCACAGTATCTAATAATTTCCACAACCAAACCAAGGGCATAATAAAATAATAATAATAAAAAAAACATATCTATCAACCTGTCACAAAGTTGTCAAAAAGCTACAAACTAATTTCAATGAACAAATATTTATAAAACTTTGTAAATGTTCAATGTTGTGTAACAATCAAAAGTGTACAGCGAAATATAAGTGAACTGTCTAATCACGGTAAGCAACACAATAATTGTAAGTGTAAGTGTTCATAAGCCATTAGTTAAGGATGTTCATGTTTTTGATTTTGCAATAATTTTTGTAAGATGAAAAGTACAAAAGGCAGTCAATCAGTTTGGATTTTTCAAAAGTAAGTGGCAGGGTTTTTTTTTAAGGAACAGAAGCATCTCTGCATGTTCAGCTACAAGCCTGCTTTTGTTGTCAGTCAGAATGTGTGACACTGAGCTGAACAGTCTTTCAGTTTCCACACTGCTGCATGGGGCTGATATTTTTGTGCCATTCGAACCAGAGCAGGAAATCGCAGATTATTGACTGCCCAGTACATAAAGGGTTTCTCTGAACGATGCATAGTGGTCTCTTCGAGGTATGCTTCCATTTGTATGGTAGTGGCTGTTGGAGCTCTGCTCTCAGATGTAGATGCACATCCATCTGCAATTTCTTCAAAAACACTGTCCAGACTGCTACCTGGCTTGTCACTGTGAGACCTTTTGTCAGCTGGTGCGCCATGTGTCTCAGGTGTGGCTGTCTCTCCCACAAAATTTTTTTACAGCTCCAGTATCAACACTTCTTGGGCCTGCCTGGCAGTGTCTGTGTTGGAGAAGAATCAATCTTTATACCTTGAACAAAAACAATGATGACATTAACATTTGTTCTGTGCAGTTAAAAAAATATAAGAAGAAGAAATATAAATTACTCTTGCATTTTTTAATCTATTTCCCTATCACCCCATTTAAGCTTTTATATTTTATTATAATGAGCAAATTAATTAATTAAGATTGAGCACAAAAATAGGCCTATTGATTACCTCGTATCAAGTAAACTTGCAATGCAGTAAAGCGTGTTTTGCTCCATGTTGGAAAAGCACCTCTGCAAAGCATCAAGCGAAGTGCTCTTCATTGTTTTGATTCCGTGGTCCTCATCCATTTGTTTCAGCAACAGTCTTTGTAGCACAGTGACAGCAGGAATTACATCTGAGGCTAAAGCATCTGAAGAACTCACCTGATGAGTCATTTCCTCATAGGGAGCCAAGACATTTACCATCTTCTCCATAAGATTCCACTGGTTTGCAGTTAGAGTGGGAGGGAGCTCGTTTTCAGACACATATACTCCAATCAACCTTTTTTGCTCAATCAGAGACTGCACCATGTAGAATGTGCTATTCCAATGAGTCTGCTCGTCTTGCTGATGTCTTTTTATTGGTTGACCGAGCTGTGTCTGAATATCCTGTAACCAAGAGTATGCCAGGTTGGAGTGTTTAAAGTGGCCGACTATTTAGCGCCCGACTCCCACAGCCTCCATAACACTGCGCTGTGATAACAGACCCTCTGTGACAGTCAGCTGCAGAGTATGTGCCACACACAGAAGACTAGAAACTCCGGCCTCCTCCATGCACTTTACCATTGTCACGGACCACAACATGGACAGAACTTTTGGGAGTTGCCCAAGTTGCAAGCATTTCCTCAAATACGCTCACTGTCGCTCGACCCGTATGTGAGCCCCGAAAATGCTTTGCATGAAGCCTGATTTTTCGTAGAGTGAAATCGCCATCTATCCATTGTGCTGTTAAGCTGATGAGAAACACTGGATTTACACAACTCCAAATGTCAGTGGTAAAGCTAATTGCTTTTATGTCATGCAGCATGCTCACGGCATGCTTTTTCACTGCGTCATGTATTTGTGGCAATACGACATCTGTGACATGACGGCGACTGGGAATCTCATACTTCGGCTCCAAAACATTAAGGCAGCGACGAAATCCCACGTTATCAACAACTGAAAATGGTTGATCATCAAGAACAATGAATTGGGTAAGCACCTCTGTTAATTGTTTGGCTCTCGGGTTATCTCTTGTCATTTCCTCTCATCTTGCAAGGGTTTGCTGCATTGCTGAGTGCTAACGTTACTGCTAGCGGCAAATTCTGTGTGCTCACTTTTGTGTTTCAGTTTCAGTTGTTTTATCAGATTACTCATATTATAAGTACCACTTTTTGTACCTCCTCTTGCTATTTTTGCAAAGCAAAGTTTGCAGTCTGCCATGCATGGGTTGTTTTGAAATATTTCCACACCGCTGAGCCTGACATTCTGTTGCTGCTGCCGAAGTCTGTGCACTGAAAGTTCTGTCGATGACGTCACGAGGTATCAGTCTTTGGTATCGGAGTGTTTTTACAAGTACAAGTACGAGTACATGAGCTCAGTATTGGGCGCGATACTGATACTGGTATCCCTATAATATACTCTACAACACATACACACAGATTATAGGAGGGTGTACTCAGTTTTGCAACAACATTTTATCACTTTGATAAGAAAAATCTTATTTTCCTGAATAATTTTACATGCTACTTTGGTACTTGCTGGAACATTATATCTTCAAAGAACCCTAATATTTCTTTAAGTAAAGAGTAATTGCTGTATTAGATGAGTTTCAGAGGGGTGTACTCGTTCATGCTGAGTACTGTATATACTGTATAAGGTCAAAGAAAAAAGGGGTTTATATACACTAAAAAAATATAGTCAGGCATATTCAAAACAAGAATAATTTGATGACATACTAAAAGTGCAGCCCACAAATACTAATTAATTGTAATTTTAAATCTTTATACTTTGCCACCATCCTTCAAACAACTAGATTGCCCATTTGTCAGCAAGTTTTTATAACAGCTGTGTAAATGACAGCAGAAGCAGATGTTGAAAAATAAAATGCATTTTATTCTACTGTTCTGATGTTCCCTGTCATGCATGCTTAGCTTGTCACTTTGTTTCTGATATGCTTTTCCCCAGCAATTACCGCTTGCAGCTATATTTATGAATACCTTTGGTTTGCCAACATAAATTGTTATCAGGATACATATTTTGTGTGGAGAATCCTCTTAATGGTCTCTCTTGAGCTTGTGACATTTTTAAGGGAGACTCTGTTTAGAAATATTGGTAAGCTATTATTCTGACAATTGCAAACCTCAATACCTTTCTCACTTCCATGCTTGAGTGCCACCCAAGCTATTGGGTTTACTTTTTGGCAGTGCCTAGCAACTTTTGTGGGCATCTAAAATAAATCAATGTAACAAAACAATACATAATGCACAAAAATATTAAGTTTAACATATTTGTTAATTCTAATTCTATTTTATCTATTTGTTTTCTTTTTTATTAAAAAAGCTCTCTAACACTTGCACTGTTTTCTAACTGCTTTTTTTTTCCATTTAAAAAAGCCTCTGACACTCTTTATTCTTTTTTTCTATTCTATCTACTTTTCTTTTTATTATAAAAAACCCTCCAACACTAGTGTACCCCATTCTTGTTCTATTCTATCTACTTGTTTTCTTTTTTTATCTTTATTTATTTTTTAATTTTGTTTATATATTTTTACACAAATGTACAACATATATAAAAACATTGAATAAGCGTTGTATGAATTGTATATGTCTGAGGGAAATGTAGCCTACTGTTTAAGTTAAGGGAATGTTTTTTCATCTTATTTGATCCATAAAACACAATGTCAAAAGCTGTGCTACTATAATGAATTGTAGTTTTAATTTTAGTGTGTTGTATTATATTTTTGTGTTTCCATGAAGTGAAAAGATGCATTAAGAGATTGCGCGGTCTCTCTCTTTTTGAAGCTTAATACGACTAAAGTTCACCGAAATCTTTGAAACGTGTAATGTAAACTACAGTAACGTTAATATGCTTATTTGAAGTTAACATGGACGTGTCGAATGGGTTTTTGCGTGTGTAAACCTTTGCACTCCCGTGAAGTTAAAAGTTGACATTAAACGCGTCTAACAACCTGCCATGCTGAAATGTCGCTCTTTTCAAACGGGGCGGATTACACAGCGTTTCTGGTACTGCGGTCAAGCCAGCCGCGCTTTGAAAATACACGGTCAAGCCAGCCGCACTTTTTTTTGACTTGCGCGTACAATCGTGTACTTACGGTACGGGTGCTGAGAGCAGTCAAAATGCATGTAAAGAAGCTGTCATACCGACGTTTCCTTTATACTTTTGGTTATTTTAACTTTTATTTTTAGTTTGTTTAGTTTAGTACATTATTTTTGTATATAAACGATTGTATTGTACATTAATTATTATAAATAATGTATTAATGTGTATTAATGTTAATATTAATGTGTTTTATTGTTTTTTTTATTTAATGTGTGTGTGTGTGAGAGTGTGTATATATATTAGGGGTTGAACGACTTCTGATTTTTTGAAGTCGACTTTGTGATGAAAGTCGAGTCGAAGTCGACTAGTCGCTAATGACCTCATTAATGAACAAATAGGTCTGGAGCTGTGATAAACAGCTTGTGCACAGCTATGGCATATGACACAGCGCTGCCCACATGCTGTTGCTCCTATAACAGCTTTTTTTAATCAGTTCTTTTGTCTTTAAGTCGTTATATTTCTCACAGATTTCTGCTCGTTCTAAATCAGATACAGATAACGTAGCACAGTAAAGATTACATTAAATAAGCTGTTTAAAACGTGCATTCTCCCGTTCAATTTCGAGCATCCCGTAATATAATCACACATGTCTTGTGGAGCGCTTTCAGAGTGTGCATTTATTTGTCATTTTAACTGTTTGGAAACGGAGTGTAAATGTGGAAGTCCTTCAAAGATTTCTTATCCTGTTGTGCCCTCTATAGGACCAGCGACTAGTCGACGTCAAGCTTAAAGCGTCAAGGCAGAGCATTGAAGTCGACTAGTCGGTGCAACCTTTAATATATATAAAATGTATGTATATATGTGTGTGTGTGTGTGTGTAACAACAAAATGCGTCCAAGCACTTCCACTGTGTCCCATATTCCAATTCATATGTATTCAGAGTGACCCTGCCTATCACTATTCATTTTCAAGACATTTTATGGTATAGTTTTGGAGAAAACTAAAAGCAAAATCACCCCCAAACAACAAAATGCGTCCTAGCACGAATTATTCCCATACACTCAAACACTCATAAAAAGTGTCCCTTTATAGGTTAGCTCATTCTTTCAATTCATATGTATTCAGAGTGACCCGGCCTATCACTCTATTCATGTTCAAGGCATTTTACTGTATAGCTTTGGAGAAAACTAAAAGCAAAATCACCCCAAACATCAAACTCCATTGTTGCACTTGGATTATTTCCGTATATTCCAACACTCATAAAACAGAACTACGAAGATAAGGTATACATTTCTAATTAGGGTATTTTACAGGGTGCAAGAGTCAAATTAGTTTAGCCAGGTCAATCTTTTCCTTTAAACGTCAATAAAAATATAACTTTGCAGACTACCTTTTGTCCTCTTAATTGCAAGTGTTTATGTAATTATTTTATTAGCTTTTTTAACACTTGTTTGAAACTTACATACTCTAATTCACAGTATAAAATATTTCTTCTGTGTTTAGCATATAATTGAAATGCAGTCATTTCTTTTCTATACGTTACTGGCCTTTTTTGGTGCATGTTATGTTTTCAAGCTACTTTTACTTTGTATGAGTTTTGTGTAACCTGAGAACCGCAATGCTAAAAAGGATCCAATTTGACAGGTAGTCACGTTTCCAAGACAGTGATAGGCTTTCACATGCTGTCAATCACTTTTTTTTCTGTGACGGCCTGGGGTCCGTTAGAGCAGTGTTTCCCAACCTTTTTTTAGTCGCGGCACCTTTTGGAAATTTTAACAAACTTGTGGCACCCTACAAAATAAATTGTCACAATATTTGAATTTCTAACTTCGATATGATAATTTGAAAAGTATAGATATTTGGTACAACAGGGAAGAACTGCAGAATATAATGTCATACAGATATTTTTAATATTATTAGTGAACTAATTTTCGGCAGCCGAAATTTCGGTGCATCTCTAATTATTGGTGACATCAGAAATTAACATTTTTTTAACATTTTAGCAATTTAAAAATATAAAAAAATGATTTTTTACACGGCACCCCTGCTCTCGACAGACGGCACCCCGGTTGGGAAACACTGCGTTAGAGCATCGATCAATAGGCTATATGAGCGATTGTTTTAAAAGTACTTTTAAGTCAATCTAAAAGACATTTCTGTCAGTTGCGTTGCCAGACTGTTTGTGAATTGCCAATTCTTCGCATGAAGGTGCTGAAAAGTATGCACATATTATGCAAACAGGATGAGCAATCCAAGGCACAGGTAATCATGCAATTAGCCATGCATTACAAGTAAAGGCTTTCATGAAGCAAGATATATAGCCTACTTATATATATATATATATATATATATATATATATTTCGTCATGAACTTTTGACAAGTTTAGTTGCTATTTAACCAATAACAATTAGGCCATATTACCTATAAAAATAGGCAGCTCTTTTAAAAAGAGATATATATATCGTTTTATATATATATATATATATATATATATATATATATATATATCGTCATTAACTTTTGTCAAGTTTAGTTGCTATTTAACCAATAACAATTAGGCCATATTACCTATAAAAATAGGCTATATTTTATTTATTTATTTTTTTTTTTTAAATCATTTTAGTATTTTTTTAAATACTACGTTATGTTAGCGATTTATCTTAGTATTATCGTTGGTGTTGGTGATAGATT